TGGTCAGTTGAAGTTCAGATACTAGTAAGAGGTCGGGGAAAGAGGTTAATAGATGGTGCTCCACAGAAGAAAAATTGGATCTCAGGCCGCGAATGTTAGAAAAATTAAGTGTGAAAAAAGCAGACGTCAGTTGAGGTCCCAGTAGGTCCACACTCCACAGCCTTCCCGACTAGTGGGACCCCTCTGAGAAGGCCCCACTTTAATATTATTGTTAACTGATATCATAAGAGAATAAAAGAATAGAACAGATCAAGAGTGAGAAAGGTTATATATGTTGTGATGTGTTGTCAATAGTAAGAGCGACAATTATGGGTTTACCATCAGACAACACATTCTGCTTCCAATATCTTCCCAGGTACTTCCCTGTTTGGTGGCTGCCTACTGCCTAAAGAACCCTCATCAATATCTTCCCTCCCCCAGGTGGATTACCTCTTTGATTGGGTCTCATCACAACCAGTACACCACGACCTCAGTGTAAGTTTTAATGACATGTCGACTGTCGCCATGGTGATTCGCCTACTGTATGATCGTATCGTCTTTTTCTACTACGCATTACAAAAGAAAATACTAGCGCTTCCTGAGGTTCAGTCCGTATGCTGTGGATACTTGTCGGAGAGAATATTTGTTTGGGGGAAGAAACACTTTAATTTAGAGTAGCTCAGTGGAACTTCCGTCAGGGTGACAAATTATGAAGTCATGCGATATATTTTGATGGAGTGGTACGAACGGGAATAACAGGGATTGATACAAGGGAAGGCTGAAAATATGAAATTTGTGACTGGTTAAAGGAATCGTTGGCAGCAGACGAGAAGTTGTCTCACTGCCGAGTTGTGAAGTACATTAATAGCCAAAGGGAAGGAAAGGGGACGTGATTGCTGCCCGTATCATCATTGGGTATGACTTTGCTTGGGAGATTGGTATCCCCTCATCCCCTGAGCAACGCTCTTGTGCATTATGCAGAAGACCCGACAGCCGCACCCTTATCCACTACCTCCTAAGATGTCCCCACACACAACGCTTCCGTGACACCTGCTGGACCACCACTCCACGACCCCCTGACGGAGACACGATGATTCTCCCCATACTGGCCAGATATTATGCAAATAACATTGATTATGTGTTAAAGGAATATCCTTCCTTCCTTAGGCTTTAGTAAGCCCATTTATAATATTTATACTGTATATACTTGTCACACTTGCCAGATGCTTCTGGTGTTATTGTACAGGGGTACCTAGTGACAGCACTAGGATCCCGCTTCCTCTATCAAGGAATAAACAACTGAAATTGAAATTGAATTGAAAGGGAAGTTCAGGGGATATATTTCTATTTTCTCTTATGCAAAAATATTTTTTTAGGATAATCACCTTTATAATTATAGTTTTCAATAATTTCCATGCAGCTTGATCCTATCTCGAATATTAATGTTTTATAGTAAATCTATTTAGTCCAGCGCCTTGTGCAACTAGGCATAATTATTAGAAACTAAACAAACGCAAATTAAAATATTTAAAGTGATGATAACTGGCGATAATGATCACGTGGATAATTCTGATGTTTCCTTAAAAATTAATGAGAAATACTGAAAATATGAAAGATCCAGCTGGCTTCAGCAACATTGTTTGGACTGGTCAGGATTTACTGTACATCTCAAATGCACGGTCCATAGCCTATTGTTACATGGCATAATTTATTTATAAATACAGTAAATGGGCAAACCTTGGAAAATGTTCAATATTAAAGTACAACACATGTGTTACCGTGCATGAGTAAATTGGTCATGTAAAAAAAAAGAAAAAAAAAAGTACATTATAAAACTTACTGATAGAGGGAAGTCAACTCCGAGGTAACAAAGAAAGACGCTTAACCCTTAAGAGGACAAGGATTAAGTTGTTTGATCTTCTCCCTTTGGCATTAGTGTGAACCTGCCCAAGAATTACAGATACTAAACAGAAATTCTTATTGCAAGATATAAATTGAAATCACAATCCCTCGAGACACCGTCAGATTCGCGGTATACAGTATAGTTAACAATGCAATATTTTGAAAACATTTGCATTTGTAATTAGTGTTGTTACTATAGTTTCTATTGACCCGTATACCGTACACACAGAACGCTGATATAAGAATTAAACAGGATAATATTAAGTTTTTGTATGTAATTACAAATGTGAGTGCATCAGCTAACAGTGACAGACCTAAACTGTCACAATATATTCCGCCCTCTTGTCTCCCTTCTAAAGCTTATAGCGAGAACGTTGACATTAATTCTTCTCTGTAATTGAGTGAATGACCTTCATTAATATAAAGAGCTGAACATGCTTACGATAATTGAATGTATTTAACTTACCGGTGTATATTCTATAAAATGAAAGGTTCTAACAAACATTAATGATCACTATAACCATTCTTGGCGAAACACAATGATTCCTCTTATGACTTTCAGTTAATGTTATCAAGTAAAACAATTCTCAAGCACTGATAAATATACGGACCCCGGGCTTCTTAGGGCCCTTGGTGACACTGACCCAACTGTTATTTGGGCCCCAAGACTCCTCAGTGTGATATTCATAATTAATAACCAAAATCTGAGGTATGACGCGGATGCAAGTACGAGAACATGTCAAATAATAGTCTTTTCACACATAGTATACCTGATATAACAAAATGTTTCACATGCAAAAAACCTGTGAAATAACTTGGATAAATGTTCTTGTTAACAAATAAAGCACATCAAAGCACACGATGAAGTTAAATATATCTCACCACTTGGACACAGTATAAGTCAGACGTCAAGGTCATACACACTCAGTGATTATATCAGTTTGAATATCTGCACAACTTCATGTCCATATCAACATTTTGCCTTTCCCAGTCTGCAGTAATTACATACCAGTGAAGGTAACTGAATATTTCCAGTCATGCAGTTCCACTTCTTCCAGATTTTAATCACCATTGTAGAAATGATATTCTCGTTGAAATAATTTTAAGATTCTGAATGTGCATCTGCAGCAGTGGCCGATGCTGGGCACTACACATGCCCAGCTGCCAAATTGGTTGTCGCGTGTTACTTAAATTATAAAAACCGAACTGTAAGAATTTACCCATTCAAAGCTTTAGACGTCTTGGATATTATAAGGACTTGCTTGCAGACATTTGTTAGTATAGGGGTGACTGCCATATATCTTAACCACAGAATTATCTTGCATCATATTGTGCATTAGTAAGCTGTCTTCATACACTTATAAAGGTCATCCACGCCTGTCTGCAGCCAAGGGGATGAACTCTCGACATGGTTTGGGACGTCCACAAGTTGTCTCCATAATGGTTGCTGAGTGATAGTCTTTAACACTTAACCTAACCTAACCGCCCATATGATGTTGCGAATAGGCACTACCCCCATCTATATTCAGTACTGTATAATATCATTAATATTTCATCATCTTAATTTTTATTTTCCCTAAATAAACCACGGAAATCAAGATAAACAAACATCAATAAATGTTTTCACTAATTTCAATTTGTGGATCAACATACAGTAACAACACTCAGAACTTACCAAGGACAGGTAGTTGAGGCATGTCGTCTTCTAGTTATTATGCTTGTGTATTCACTGAACACGCACTATATGTAATATATTATAACTTAATATAATTCACAAGCCGTAAGTAAGAAAGCATCATAAGTATCATGAAGTTTATTTGGAAATTACACCAAAACCTTCAAAATACAGTATACAAGTATCTCACCGTTTGTTACCTTACGAGATCCACATTTACGTCCAAGTATTTATCAGTATTATTCCATTTTCCAGTTAATGTCACCTTTTAATTGATAAATGAATGGTTACATTTATGTTGGGATATTGTACTGTACAGTAGCGTACACTTATAAACGATTACTAGTTGGGAGTAGGGAGTTAATTGTTTTTCACCAAGAATTCGAGACGCACACCACGCCAGTCAGACAGTGGGCGACTGCGCGTGCATTTTTAGTATTGTCCCTCAGAGAAAGGTTTATACATTAATTCGCGATTTTTTTTTATTATAACTATTTTATTCTTGTACTTTTGGCCTGCCCAGCGTTTAACTGGCCCAAAATGGAGGTAGGTTACATTATATAAAAAGTAAAGGTGTTTCCAATAAAACAAGTTACCACTAAGGCATTCACTAGTTGTCACAGTACTTTATTGTAGTTCTTATTGCAGTATGGATCTAAAATAGCTGCTATGCAGAACCTGATGGAGCAGTAGTCATTTAACGTCTGTATGGCAACACTATGTTGGTGTCTCGGAATTGCCGAGCATAACTGCAGTCTGTGTGGTTGAAAGTTTTGCCGGACGACTTATTATTTAATGATTTTAACACCAAAATTAAGCATCAAAATTGATTAAGAGAATAAAAAAAATTATCGGAAATACCGGCAATAATAGTGAAGCAAATATAGGACGAACTGAACTTCAATTATTTTTAGATATCTTTATTTTACGATATTCACTTTATATAGTTTATTTTTGTTTCATATGATCATTAGTTGACTATATTTCTCCTGGCTGGTAACAACAGTATACTGTAAGAGCTCGGCATGCCAGAGCTAGAACAAGTTCTGTTTGAAGGTCGAATTATGTTACTGGTTCACAATGAACCACGAGTCCCAGTTACTCCCAACTGTTTCGTAGAGTAAGGCTTATGAATCATCGAAATCTGGAATGAATGTAAATATAAAATTCTTGGTTACATATTTATTCCATATTCAAAGTAGATTATCTATAATTGGTGTCCTATTAGTAAAATGTTTACAGTTAATGAAAATGATCAAGTACCTGGCAGATCAAGCTGCCAAATTATGTTGATCGTCCTAAAGTACGTATTACATGTATAGTATCGGTAAATGTGCTCGAAATATTTAAATGTATTTTTTAAACTATAATGTTAATTATAAACAAACAAGCATTCAAATTATATAAATATTTCGGAACATTCGTGAAGCAGATTGCTCCGAACGTATCATTCATTGACGTCACTCAGACTCACTCTGGTCCTGGGATCCAAGTCGTGTAGTCGAAGGCAACTCCGCTTCTCACAATGGTAAGCTTAGCCTCTCCCACAAGCTTAATTTTTGATGAAAACTATACCATATACTCGTGATATTAAAATGTGACTGGCAAAGACAGACGTTTGTGTTGTCATTCACCAGAAATATTTGTTTGAGGGAATATACGTGTACCTTGTAGCCGGTTCAGGCTAGAGGGCGAGGTTGTTGTCATCTGTGACTGACTGGTCATCGATTTACTGCACCACCAAGAATTACTCCAAGAGATTTTTTAAATGCCTTAGTAAAGGCACATTTATTTATTATTATTAAAGTACTGAAGATGAAAAATTTTAAAAACTAATGTGGATGGCACCTGTACGTACATTATATGTTTGAAGGTCAAAATCAATCGAATATTCACAAGGAATTTCATCACAATAGCGACACTCTTTAGGGTAAATAGTAACATGGTTGTCGTGACAACCATCGAGTTTTACTTGAATGTGAAAAAAAATATATATAGTGTACTGTACTGCATATGTTAGGTGAATCTCACATGTAGCATTTGAGACAGTTAGGCATGTCTCAATTATCTGAATACCTATTTGACCTTAAGCTTATTAGTATTGGATATTATAACCCATTGAATGATAAGGGTTTCTCTCAACTGAATAAAATACTTAAGTGCAATATGAGTGAAGGCAGGGTGTGGGTTTGCTCTTATCAAAATTGTAATGTTGTAATTCTGTTTCATCTCACATATACACCAAAAACGTTCAATTGATGGAGTGTCTCAAGAACTACCACCTACTTAACTGATGTTGGCACTTACACTTTGCTTACCAAAGTTGGTATTTGAGAGATATCCTTTTCACCAGACTGTTTCACTCTGTAACAATGGCTGATACGAGGATTCTACCTGTGGTGAATTGCAACCAAAGCTGATAGTAGGTGACTCCCTACGAGAAGAATTTAGACATTGTGTATTGCAAGCGTTATAACTAGGACTATAAAGGGCACCTGCAGATCTAACATTTAAAGGGGCATGTGCATACATATGTGAAAAAATTATCAAGAACAGTGGAGGGATCCTACACAGGCCACTGGCCTCCTTTCCTCGACATGGGAAAATTATTTTGTATTTTCTGGAAAATGCACTTGATTTTCATCTCTCAAACCTAAAAAAACAAAATCTCCCATCCCGACTTTTGCTGGGTACTGCAAAAATTTTTCTAAATTTTCCAGAAAATGCACCCTCGGAAAATCGTTTCCAAACCCAGAAAATTACTAGCCAATTTCAATTCCGGCTATCGGAGGTTTCTGAGGACTGAAATGAACATATCAGTGGATATCTCGTAAAATATCAGAGAACATAAAGTGGCACCTCCTTTCTACACCTTACTACAGATTATTTTCTACCCAGTAATCTTCCATGCTATATAATACATGACCCATCTCTGAAGAAATAGCATTTCCCCAATAGGAGAATACATTATGTTGGAGTAAATAAGGATAAATTAAATATAGTACAGACAACATTATGTAACCACTCAAGGGGGGTTAGGTCAGGCTAATGTTTGACCATGATTGAAAAATCTATATATTTGTTTTGTTTTTTTTCCAGAAAAAAAAATTTCTCCAATAAAAAATGCAGGAAAATTTTTTTTGGCGAAATCGTTCATAGCACTTAAGTAAATGGTTACCAAAGATGTGGACAGTATTAACTGCAATAATAAGGTAGAATTTTTTTTATACGAAACCCAAATCATTGGGACTACAGTACGGTATTGTACATTGTCAGTTATTTATGACAGTGTTCAACACAGACTAATATCACCTATTTAATAGTTGTGTTAAATAGGTTTGGTTGTGCTATGTGATCGTAAATTATAAGATCTTTTTTTTTTCTTTTTTTTACATATAACGAGGTGTTTACTCAGGAAGTTTAAAAGTGTCAGTGAAATTTTAAGTTGGTTTTGAAAAAGTGATTATATATATAGTACTGTACAGTATACTACACTCACAAAAATTAATTTCTGTATAGAGTATCTGTTAGGCTCAAAGAACGAAGTCACTAGCTGAGCGAAAAGAATGACCTGAATGTGTTGTGGAATGAAAAATAACCAGAGAGCAAAATTTCGCCATAGGATAGATATGGTTATGGGTGTTGGGAAAACCACGATGCAAAGTTTCATAAACTGGTTATATTCCTGTGTTCATAATGCGCCATGGTCTTTATTTTCTCCGAATGAATTTGTTCTTTGAGCCTAACATATACATTAGAAGTGTTGCAGTATAATTTGTTGACTCAAACTGGATTACAGTAAAGTACTATCTGTAGAAGCAAAAAACTTAAAGCGCACTGGACTATTTCTAGATGCAGACAACACAAACCAACAAAAGTTACATAAAATAACCAACCTACTTGGGATCCTAGGCTAAATGTTGTTAGGAATGGTTAGTTTATTTCCTTTGTTGTCAGAACTAGTGAAGCACCATTGCCTTCAAAACACAGTCAGCAAATGAAGCGACCGCCAGTATGTTTCTGATAGAATAAAGTACAGTAATGATATGTGATTTTCTTTTAGTTCAGATTCACATTTTCCTTGTTCACCACCAGATTTATGCTCTATTCTATGCATTAAAACAAACTTGACAGTGAAGATTCCTTAATAAAATTCGAGAAACATGGGGGTGATTTATCACTAATTACTATTTTTTTATTTACAGGCTGAACCTGTGCGCGTTTGCATTACTGGTGCTGCTGGCCAGATTGGCTACTCACTGGTGTACATGGTTGGGTCTGGGGCAGTGTTTGGTGCAGACACCCCTGTGATTCTGCATTTACTTGACATTGCCCCAATGATGGGTGTACTCAATGGTGTCTGTATGGAGATCAGTGACTGTGCTCTTCCTTGTGTTAGAGGTAAATTTTTGCACAATTTGAGTTGTCACACACGTGTACACAATGCATGTGCATGGAAAAATGGAGAAACTGAATCTCCAGATGTTGTATAATTATGTTATGCCCCCATTGTGAAACTGCCCAGTTCATGAACTGGGCAGTTTCACAAATGGGGCATAACGTGTGTGTGTGTGATCACTTTAAAAAAAATCTTCTGGTTATTTTAGTTACTTCCTAACCCAAGCGATTTTTTTTTACTTATGAACATATTTTAAGAATTCAACATTACTCAAGCCTAAATCATTGCTATTGTGTTTTATACAGGGTTTCCATGAAAGTCATGCATCATAGGAAAATACATTTATTTTAAAGATAATTACAATATTCATTTCAAATGATTCCCACCAATCTTAAAACATGTTTGTTAATTTTAAAAAGAATAGATTTCTTTAAATGTTCCTCAACATTTCTGGGCAGATGGAGCTGACTTCATCTTGAATTTTTTGCGTGAGGTGTCTCGTATGTTCTCTTCACCGAATAAACTCAACATACTCCCTTGAAACATAGATATACTGTATACCCGTACAGTATACTACAGTGTAATGAAAATAAATAGACTTGGCCTACTGGGTATTCTCCTGTGATTCATGACTGTCCTGTGCATAATTGTGATAGTTTGAGAATTGGCAGTGAGTTGTATATTTTTCAACTCTATACAGGTATCCCAGGTTATGAAACCTTCCCTAAATCGAAGCACGGTTCCCCCTAGATTCCTATTATAAAAGCTAAGGTACGTTCATTTGAAGAAAAGAAAACTTCCTCAAACAACTTAAAATGAAACAGAAAATGCATTTAATAATAATAATAATAATAATAATAATTAACAGTTTATTAAAAGAGCTTGGCAGCCAGAAGGCTGAAAATATACAGTTACATATTTGGGGAATGGGTTTCGAATTACAAATAATATACAAGTAACATAAGTGACACAAATAAGATATATAATAACTAGATGGGGAAAAGCTCAAACTACAGTTCATTTCAACATAGTGACAGTGCATTTGTTTTGTGTGTGTGTGTGGCCCACAATGATTATAAGCCAATAATAAACAAGTGAACTACATGCAATACAGTGACAATTTCGTATGTGAGATTGTTTGCAAACTCAGTTGAATATTTGTTTTATTACTTAAAAAACAAAATAAATAAAATAATGTACGGTATACATACAAATGATAAAAAATGCATTATAGACTGTTTAGAAGTTAAGAGTTTTTTAAATCCAATTTAAATGGGTTTGTTGACATCACAGCAACTTCAAATGAGTTGTGACATTTTCCAGTACTGTAGTGCTCATAAATCCCTGATTATTGGCTGATTGAATGAATAGCCCAAAACCTTGATCTTCTTTAATTATGTACAGTATATATTTTAATAGAATATTGTTGTTTTCACATGGCTTTTGAAAGTATTATTGATCATATTAAAGCAAAGGTTTGAGGTAACTTACACCAGCTGCTGTGTTGTTGCAAGGGTCATGTTAAACCCTTAATTAATGAATATTTAAAGTTTACAAAAGAATTTAATCACTGTTGGATGTTTTAGTAATGCTGTAATTCAATGCAGTGCAGTACGTACTTATAAATGGCATTCACAAGTACGTACTGTTAAGTTCAGGAGACTATATGTAACACCTTTTGCATAAAATTGTCTGAACTCTGATATATAAACCTACTGTACTGTACTGTATGAGGAAGATATGTCTAGTCCTTTAATTCATTGCATTTTCATGCATTTAATTAATTCAGAAGAAACTTTTCTGGTTTATAATTTGTGGCCATTTTGCATCTTTTACAATGGGAATAACATTACTCTTTTTTCTTTTTTCATTCTGTAGGTACCACTCCCTCATTTATTGAGTACTAATAGTTCCAATGGTTTATCCAGTGGTTCTACACACATCATGTGTGCATTTGGTGAGAGTTTGTCCATAACTGTACTTCTTTCATTTATGATATAATAACAGACTTTTTAATGTTAATGTGCTGCAGGTCATTGCTTCTTTTCTATCTGATAAGTGTTGGGAGATGTTGCTTTTATTTTTTATTTATTTTTATTTTCTTTAAATACAAGCTCATTGGATAGTATCACCATTTTGGTCACTTTCCCAGTACTGTACTGTACTGTACTATGGTGGGACTAAAGTCCCTTCCTTCAGCCCTCCCTTTCTTTCCCCCTCCTGCCCCCCATCCCCCATCATACGCACTACATAGTGCCCCATCTGTTGTACGAATAAAGCACTTCCCTCTGTTGCTTCTTTATTCGAACCTCAGGTGATTTAGTCATATTGTGGCTGGCTGAGGGAAGGAACTTTTGTCCACCATAGTACAAGTGCATGTACTGACTTTATCCACTTGTGCTGTATTTTCTTTACATTTTATTTTCATATGATAGAATAAAGAATGCTTTCATACCTACCGGGTATGTAAAATTGACGTGTAATGGAATATTGGCCTAGTAAAAATATTGTTTTATTTATTTATTTTGAAGTATTCTTATAATATCTAGTTCTTGTTTCCTATTCTTACCAGTACAGTTTATCATAAATTCATTGGCTACTCGTCGTGCCATCTTTGTTGTTTACAGTGTATGTTTTGAAAAAGTATGTTTTTGTCATCTATTTAGTATTGCATTTTGCATGGTAATTATTCCTACAACTTCAATTTTTTTTTTATCTTTAGTCAAGCTCTTAACGTTTTGTATCCTGTGTTTGGACTTCATATGAGAGCATAATTATCATTGGAGTTGATATACTATTACAAGCCTTACTTTTAAAGTTTTCTTGGATGTTTGTTTTAATTCTGGTTTATCAGGTATAATTTCTCTTTTCTGCCTGTTGTTCGTATCCACAGTCTTAAGAGATATGGAATTAAGGCTCTGTAATGTACAGATATTTTCCTTGACTTTTTATTTGGGAGCAGATGTTTATGCACAGTACAGTCTTTCTTGACCTAACTATACCTGGTCAATTACTCCTCTGTTATTTTTTTTTTTTTTTTTTAGATGTCATTGCTACTGATGACCCAGCTGTTGCATTCAAGGACATCGAAGCAGCATTTTTGGTTGGTGCAATGCCCCGCAAGGAAGGCATGGAGCGAAAGGATCTTCTAGCTGCCAATGTCAAGATCTTTAAGGTCCAGGTATGATTGTCAGGATCAGTGGCTAATCTAATACATTATTCTAGTGCAGTATGTATGCATTCCCTGAGGTTTAATATATCTGAATTTCGGTAAAAAATATTCATTATCATAGTGTAAAGAATTTCCCTTTCACTCTTTCCCATGTGTAATGGATGAAACCTGAAGAATCGGTAAATTAAGGAGGATAATTAATGTGAAATAAAGTATTTTTCACATACTGTATTGTCTTATAAGGCTCTGATTCTATTTAAAACCTGCAGATACTCTTTGAATCTGTATTCACAAACCTAAGGCAGACTTTACTGTACCACATTTTTGAAGCTGGCTGCTGCTTTGACCATTGTGAACCAGTTTTAACTTTTGTGAAATTACAGTACAGTACTTTCAATTACAGGCAATTCTTCATCCTCTCTTTTGACGAGTCATTAAATTGAGAACTAGCTCTTTTTTTATGAAGTTAAAAAAATCTTAGTGGGCTGAACCTTAAACTACCAGAATAGTCCATAGTATAGGTGAAGTTACTGGCAGTCACCATGTGCTTCTTTGTGTGGTGCCAATAATGCTTTTGTACTAAGCCTCATCCATACCCTAATTTAATTGTGGTCTTCCCTTTTCTCCATCATATTCCCCCTCGTCACTCTTTTCTCCATCATATTCCCCCCTCATCTTTTTTTTTTTTTTTAAACAACCTAACCATACAGCATTCTTTAATAAGAAAATTTTCATCCAGCACACATTTTGCTATTGTAGGGTCAGGCATTGGACCAGTTTGCCAAGAAGTCGGTGAAGGTTCTTGTGGTGGGCAATCCAGCTAATACCAATGCCTTAATCTGCGCCAAGTATGCACCTTCCATCCCACGTGAGAACTTCTCTGCTATGACTCGTTTGGATCAGAATCGTGCTCAGGTAACGTAGCATACTGTAGGTGTTCTAAGTCAATCCTGTTCATAAAGGGTTAAGGGTGTTTGAAGATATTGTATTTATTGGGTTGTTGCTAAGAGGTATGATCACATGTAGAAAATCAAATGGATGCTTAAGTACTTGTGGCAAAGTCTGTGGAAAGATTGTTTGGTGGTCTAGTGTTGCAGATATTTGGCTTGTTTTTTGTTTTTATTCGGAAATCTGGTTTATTCTATTCTGGGACATGTAAATATGTAAAACGTTATCTTTGAAAGGCTTGCATATAAATGAAAATATTTTTCTTTGAACAGGCTCAGATTTCCTCAAAGCTGGGTATTCCAGTAACAGATGTAAAGAAAGTAATCATCTGGGGAAACCACTCCTCCACCCAGTTCCCAGATGTACGCCATGCCACTGCCACCATAAATGGACAGACCGTATCTGTGTATGATGCAATTAAAGATGATGCTTACTTGAAAGGCGAATTTATTACAGTAAGTATCTTCCTGTAATGGGATTGAGCATGACATGTTTTTAGCGGTTTAATTTATTCCATTTGGTTGTTACTGGTATGTAATAATGTTAATTAGGAAAATTAGAAGACGTGTAAGTAATACTGTCTCTCGGTTAACGAATGGTTCGATTAACGAAATTTCGGTTAACCAATTAGCTCTCATAAGGATTTTCAGTTCGATTAATGAAATCCTTACGACAAACTTTTGTTGTGCGCATCAGCTGTTCAGTCGGCCAATACAGTAATCAGTTCTATGTTTACATTCGTTTCGTTTCCAGTGGAGTAAATATCAAGAAAGTTGGTCTCTTGAATATTTCTGCATTTTTTTATATTAAAATTTTTGGTCATTCTGAAAGTTAGTAAACATGTTGACAATATACAGTACAGGGAACAATTTTTGTGCGCCAATCAACTGATTCAATCGCCCAACAGCGCTTCTCAGTTTAACTTTGTTTACAGTGGAGTGACCATCCAGTTTGTTGGTCTTGTGAATATTTTTGCATTTTTACATTAAAATTATTGGTCATTCTGAAATTTAGTAAACATATTGATAATATACAGTGCAGAAATTATTATGAAACACAAAGAAGGCATTAGAACCAATGCACTCTGTAAAGAATATGGCATGTCATCATCGACTGCCTCTGCAATCAGCTGTTTGATATGTAAACAAAGCTGCCGGGAATACAACATACACACCTCAAAGTAAGTTAAAATACAGTATTCTATTGTTTTTTTATTTAATATTGTACAATATACTGTACAGTACAGTACTGTATTTAGTTTATATTTAATGTTTTGTTAATTCTATTACCAGTATACTGTACAGTACTTTGTATGAGTCATCCCTTGGTTATCACGCCTAATTGGGACCACGCCGAGTGCGTGATAACGAAAAACGCGATAACGAAAGTACAGAACCTATGGGATTTATTCTAATTGGTTCCAGGCACCCAAGACCCAACCCCAACTTTCCCATTTTATGACCATTTAGACCCACTAAATATATATAATGTTATGGTAAATATCAGAAACACACATAGGCATGGCTAGGTTTATTACAAAGTGATGAAAAGGGTATGCTCAATACTGTAGTCCACAAAACATGTTGCTATGCTTTTTTTGTTTGGTCCCCCATCATAGGAGTCCGTTTTCTCTCGCTTCAGGACGTCTGAGTCCTCCGTTTTCTCTCAATCTTAGAGTGCACCCGAGACTTTGTTATCCCTTAGTAATGACACAGAATTTTATATTGCAACTGGGGTTGCAATTGTTGAGGCAACTTAGATATGTCTGATTACAATTGGAATGTTATCTGGTGAGTGATGTTTAAAGCTTCAACTGTCGTTATGGTTGGTAAAACTTGTCAAGTCTGTCAGTCTGAGTGGCATGTGTGAGTGCTTGTGTTTGTACAACCGCTTTCATTCAGACCCACTAAAGATATAATGTTATGGTAATTATCAGAAACACATAGGCATGGCTAGGTTTATTACAAAGTGATGAAAAGGGTACGCTCAATACTGTACAGTGGGTAGTCCACAAAACATGTAGCTATGCTTTCTTTATTTGAGTGCCCCATCATAGGAGTCCGTTTTCTCTCGTTTCAGGACGCCTGAGTCCTCCGTTTTCTCTCAATCTTAGAGTGCACCAGAGACTTCGTTATTCCTTAGTAAGGACACAGAATTTGAAATTGCAACTCGGGTTGCAATTGTTGGGGCAACTAGATATGTCTGATTACAGCAAATGTGTTATTGTCAATTGTAGGTGAAAGATTTTATCCTCAATAGATGTAGGTGAACCAAGGGGTTAACATTACACATGGAGGGAAATGCGTGATAACCAAATTCTCCGGCCTGAAAAATGAGCTATAACGGCAGGTGTGCAGATTTTGATGGAGGCGTGATAACGAAAATCGCGATAACCAAGTGTGCTATAACCAAGGGATGGCTGTATACTTTTTCTGTGAATTGGAACCAATTACCCAATATCCCATTGAAATAATAGATTCGGTTAACAAATGACTCTGGAACGAATTGTGTTCATTAACCGAAGGACCACTGTACTGTACTGTAATAAAACGAGTATGTCAAATAATTGGAGGGATGCAGGACTTGAGTGGGAGACACTATGGCTGAGGTGAGCATAATTTTATTGTTGTGTACATAATATGTTTAGGTAAAGGTTTCTCAGGCAAGTGTTGATATTATGAGTAGAGGAATAATGGTTAAAAAAAATATATTTTTGTTGTGCTTACACCAGTACGTCTTGTAATTTGATTGTGGCTTTTTAGTATTTTCAGCTTAACCCTGAAAAGGTGACTCTGTTAGTGAAGGTAGATTTGGGAGTACTGTACAGTAAATACTTTTGAATGAAATTCCTCGAGACTTTTTTTAGTAAGACTATATTTGGTCCATCTTAATCAGATACTGTATACTGAAGTGCTAAATGGCAAGAGAAATTGAGCATTTGAGAGCACGTAGCAGAAAAAAAGAACTTGCCTAAACCCGCACACACTAGCATTTGATAAGGTCAAAAGTGTCTACCTTTGAACAGTTATGTATTTGATTATAGTACTGTAGATTGGTATTACAATAAGGTTAGTTAAAGTGAGATGTTTATGAATTTCGGCAGGATTTGAGTGAGTTTGTGTTTTGTTTAAATCCTTTTTTCTCTCATTTTCATACTATTAATTTGATGTTCGGTATTGACAGACTGTTCAAAAGCGTGGTGGTGCAGTCATTGCTGCACGCAAGCTTTCATCTGCTATGTCTGCCGCCAAGGCTGCCTGCGACCACATGCAGAGCATTTGGCAGGGAACTTCTGGGGAACATTTTGTATCCATGGGTGTCTTCTCTGATGGGTCCTACAACACACCTGAAGGAGTGATGTATTCCTTCCCTGTTACTATTAAGGACAAGAAGTGGAGCATTGTTCAGGTTAGAATTGAAAAGACTTTCCTTAACTCACTTAACCCTGGTGTGCATGAGGGCAGTGGTGGGCACAGCTAAACGAAAATTTAGTTTCGCTAACCGCTGATCAGCTAACTAAAAAGTTAACTTCGCTAATGCTAAACGGCTAAAAAAATTAGCAGAAGCTAATGCTAACCGCTAACTTTTATTATATGAATTTAGCTTCGTTTTTTTTGGGGGCTCTAAAACCCTTAAAAACAGACATAGAGAGCTGAAATTTTCATATGTTGTCTTGTAGCTTAGACATAGAGCTTTCCAAAAAGGTATAGCATGCCAAGATCAGATGATGATCAAGGTGTACACAAATAATTAAATGAACAAATGAAATTAAACATTAGTTTACATTCAAGTTTCACCATACACTTTATAATCTTTATTTACTGTACGAAAAGACAGAAAGTATTAAACAAATCCAAAACTATAGCACTGTATAGCATAGGTAGCAAATAGCATCATGCCAAGATCAGATGATGATCAACTTATCAAGGTGTACGTACACAATTTCACAAATAATTAATTTGCATTCTCATACAACCTATCGGCCTCATTCATTATTCATGTAAATATGCAATACCAACCACATACACATTATACCAGTGCATTTTTAGATAACTTATTGTTGGTCTTAGTCATGTAAATAAACAGAAAACTCTAAAATTTAATGAAAAGTAAGTTTTTAGAAAATTTTGTTTGGCGCACACCTTGGATGACATCCTGGTTATGAACTTATGCAGTACTTCGCATAACCAAATATATTGACACAAAAAAATCCTGATTAAATTAACAAATAAATGAGAAATGAAATTATACAGTAGTTTACAATTACATTCTATGATTCTTTCAACATACACTGACAGTCTTTATTTACTGTAAAAAAAAAGTATTAAACTTTAATAATCGAAAAATTCCATTCACTTCGGCTGCAGTGGCTGGGCCTTCTCCATCACCTCGACGTGATGGTGGTTGCCCTTCATAAACATCAGCCTCTCAAAGTTGCCATCTGACAGGGTGGCTCTCTTGGCCCTTAAGATATCTTTGCACGTACTAACACGCAGTCAGCCAAGCGTGCCTGACTGGCTGTTGGAGATGCGTTGTGGCGTCACACGCTTACAACAGACAGGAACAAACCTGTATAAATTTTGTTAGCGAAACTAAATTTAGCAGAAGCTAATTGGTCCGCTGATGGTTTCCATAGTTAGCGAAAACGCTAATCCGCTAATGAGAAAGTTAGCTTTGCTAATTAGCGGTTACCGGAACCGTGCCCACCACTGCATGAGGACTATAATGGTCAGTTTGTGTTCCTGTCTGTAATTATAAGTGTGTTGAATCAATTTGCCTTAACACTTTTCAATAGATTTTCACAACACTTAGTACAAATGGTATGTAATATATGTACAGTACAGTATGGATGGTGTGATGGTGGCCAGTTGGGTTCACTAATGAATTCATTCTTCCCAGTGTTCACCTGTCCCATCTATAGGGTGAGAGGGATGTGTTGTCTTGTATTGCAGTTGCTCTAAGATCTTATGACATGTTCATTATTTCAGGGATTGCCAATTGATGATTTTGCTCGGGAGAAAATGGACCTAACTGCTAAGGAATTGTGTGACGAACGTGATGATGCCATTGCTGCTTGCGAGGGCTAGGAAGGCGCAGCAGCTAAACCCAGGCTCTGAGAGAGAAGTACAGCATACCACGCAGGGAATCCCTCTTGTTCAGTAGAAAATACATTACAAATATATGCATACAAAATTTTACTCTTAAAGGCAACTGATTAGTAAAGGACTCTAGGATTATAGTCAGGCAGTATTACATTTTTGTTCAAGTTTTGACAATTTTATTTTATTTTCCTTTACATTTTTTTCACATTTATGTTGAGAAGAAAGTACAGGAGGTGGGCACATAACCATTTTAAGCATATTGATAATTTGAAATGGACATAAGCTTGAAACTGCCTGTGGCACAAGCAGTTAAAATGGTTCTGTTTAGAGTAAATCTGAGTAATCATTCTTATGTAAGATTAAGATGCTCAACTTTCAGCTTAATATCTTCCCATCAGCGTGTATGTATATAGAGAAGCATTGAGCAGTGCAATAGGTAAAATGTAGTGTGTAAATACAGTACTAATTTCCTATACAGTACAGTATATGGAATTCCTCCTTATCCAGTATTTAGTTCTCATCCTGAGTTTAACTGCCCTTGGAAGAAATATTTAATTTTACCAAATTTAAAATAATTTTATTGACATATATCAATTGTTATAGGGGAATCACTGTGTATTATTTGGATATTAAAATAAGCAATATAATGATCATTATTTATTGCCTGATACCTGTAAGTGGTAATGGACTCATGGATTTTATCAATATACAGCTACTCCTTGACTTAAGGCCACCTGGACATACGACCGCCCCAGTCTTACCAAAATTTTTCCAAATTACGTATTTTCGAGTCCCGTCGTTTGTGATTGCGCTGTGTACCGACAAAATTTTAGTTTGTAATTCCCTTTCAAATGACTGGCATGCTATAAAAGTGAGAGTTTTGTGGTGCCGAGAAGAAAAAGATCCACCCATTTTAGATTTTCTATGTATTATCTTCGCATTTTCGACTTACGACCTGGATTTGGGTCCCTAACCCCGTCGTAAGTCGTGGAGTGGCTGTATTGTGTTCCTTGGAGAAGAGAGGTCTTGGTGAATCAGCTTTGTGGGCTTACTACATACTGTACTTGAAATGGATATGCATTCCTAAGTGTTTTTTCTTACCTATAAGTGATACATAGTGGCTTAATTTTGCTACTGGTAAACATTGACAATTGATAAACCCTTTCACTGCAAGTCATTAATTAATCAGGATATCTTGTGTGCGGACCCCTGGCTGCCTCGGCGGCAGCGCAAACATCTTGGATGTTCTGTTTAGGTATGAGGGTAATTGACCAGTGCAGACGGAAAATATGGGACATATTATCTGGTAACAGTAGGGGTGTTGCCACCTTTGATATACTGTATGTGGTCATAATTTTGCTCGTCAGGCATGCATGCCAATTTTAAACCGCATGATCGTATATGCTACAGCCACAGTGATCGGGAAAATGTTACTGTATCGTATACGATACAAATGCAGCGAAAGGGTTAAAGGCTAAACCACAGGCATCTGTGTAAAGCCCTGTCCACACGATCGAGCAGTGCCCGGCAGGCTTTGCCCGTTTACCGGGCAAAGCCTGTGTGTTGTTGTACACATGGGGGTGGTTGGCAGCAGTCTTAGTCGGGTGCCGGAAGCTAGTAGGTGGTCGGCAGTGGCGGGTGTGGTGCGATCACCATGGTGTGTCGCAGGAATAATCGCCGGACAGTTAAAGCGAAGAGCATAGCGTTGTGTACTATAATAATTGCTCCTATGTGCAAAAAGATGAACCAAATGCAGAAAAGGGAATGGTGCAAAGAGTGGTTAGGTCGAAGAAAAGTATTGGGAAGTCGTGCCACGATTTTACATGAACTGCAAGATGGACATGAGCTAGACTTCACCAATTACATGAGAATGGACCCCAACACCTTTTACAAACTTCTAGCGAAAGTGAAACCATGTAAAAAAAAAACAGGATACCAATATGAGGGAGAGTACATCTGCAGAGGCTCGTCTAGAGGCAACGCTCAAATATCTTTCAACTGGGTGCACCTACATGTCACTTCAGTATAGAATGAGGATATCAAAAAGTTTGTCTCCCATAATACCTGCAACTTGTCAAGCCATGTATGAAGTACTCGAGGAAGATTACTTGCAGGTGAGATTTGTAGTCCATAAAAATTCATTGTATAATGTTAGAATTATGGTATGCATAAACAGGAAGCTATGGGACTAGAGTGAGGAGAGCGGCAGGAACGAAGAACACACGAATGTCCTCATTACATAATACAGAGTCGTCACTCCATATCCGGCAGCAAACCACCAGGCAGGCGGACATGATTTCGCTCAACGACAGGCAAGGGCACTCCGATGGTTTGCCAGCCAATTTTATCGATCGTGTGGACGGGGCTTAACACAGCAGTAGCATTTATAAAGTGGTAAAGGCATTGTTCTTGTAGTAAGCACCAACCTTCTTCAGCAATAACAGCAGTGGTAGGGGAGTGCAAGTCAGTAAATATTTCTATTACCAGTCCTGCACCACCTTCCTTAAGGTAGATAAAGATGCTTCTTGCTTTCTCCATAATAATAAACAGACTTAAAGGTACTGGCTGGGTATACTGTAAAGTGCTTAGTCTGGTCTTTCACCCACACTCTTAACCTGTTCAGCAGGCATAAACAAAAGTGGTGGGTATGCCCAGTTCATTTGAATTCAGTTTTTACGTTACTTGTACTTTATAGAATAAAAAAATAAAGCCATGAGCTTAAAGCTTCTGAATTATCTTTCATTAGGGCAGCTTTTAATTGTGTATTACAGTCTTCTAAGAGACATAGCACTTGCATGTTATCTGAAAAGACTTTTAAGTCATATAAACATGTTGCATTCATTCTACCAGTTTATGCAGGCTTATTAAAACATTCCACACCATCTGGAAGTCCATTTGTCTATTGGCTTCTAATCAGGGTAGCTCTTGAGAGGGTTGACAAAGACCTCACATTACTAGCAAGGCCTCTATGAGTAAGCTTGTTGGATGAATGTCCTCGACCTGTTTTTAGAGGTCATACCCACTTATGTACATAGTATACGTGTATCCTGCATTTAACTATAAGCGATACAGTTCAGCTGACTCAAGACGTGTCTGGCTGCAGCCTGTGTGCCCTGATATCACATAGAGCAGGGGTCACCAAACTACGGCCCGCGGGCCGGATCCCAAGTCCTTCCCCGGCTCGTGGTAGCTCCGCCTACGCTCTGACGTTACCAGAGCTTTCATTCTGGCTTGCAAGTATTGAACTGAATGATTAAGCGGCCCGCGCTCGTCATTCTTTCAGTTATCCGGCCCACTGTGAAAAAAGTCAGAGGGTAGGGAGAGTGCAACTGGCTGCAGATACAGCTCACTGCCTCAATACATACATTCACTTCCCACACATGTACACCCATGTTATTAATTTTCTTATTTTGTAGATTTATATTACATTTTCTTTATCTTTAAATCAGATTAGAGTATTTTTCTAACTTTCCTCCTAAATATTCCCAGTGAGTCGAGCATTGCTAAACCGAAAATTAACCGTCGTTAAACATGAAAAGGTGTTAAAAATTTATATTGCTGAACCAAAATATCGTGAAGTGAATGATTGTTAAACGAAGGATAGCAGTATTGATGAAATGGGTAGGTGGGTATTTCCCTTCTTTATGATGATCCAGTCTGTTCTATCATTCAAGTCGGAGAAGGAGGACAAGAGAGGAGATAGTAAACAGTACAAAAATGTACTCGATTGTACATTTCATTCATTCACTGGGTTTATAATTGTTTGTTATAATTGAGCATGAACAGGGATTCAGAAAGTATTTCATTTAAGAGCTATGGGATGGAAATATGAACATTTGTAATATGCTCTTGCCAATTTCTACTGAATCATAGTAAGTGAAGCAAGTCTGTCTGTGTTGGACTTGGATACTGCATAAACATATTAGTGTGAAAAAGTCACGCAGTGATGCTTATTTTAGAAATTTTATGGATCACAACGTAATCAACACGTTGACAGATACTTCCCGTATATTGAAATTATAATTTTATAAATCGGGTTGATACACTTTAGTTTAAGGTACTTGATTTATCTTAATTAGCAGTTAGATTTGTTATAAAAATAAGAAAAGATAAACATTCGGCAGGAAATTCATCTTGGGAGTTTAGTTGCCAAATGCTGCTACAAGAGAAATTTTGAAGGTTTTTAAATTATGACTTTCACTAATAAAAATTTCAATGATATAAGAATTTGTGATTCTTGAAGACAAACTGAACTGTATGTGCATTTTTAATCAGTTTGTATATACAATACAAACATCCCTTACTATTTGAATGGGTTAGGTTCTTTCAATGCCTTTCAGTTATCAAATATTTGGATACCAAATACTAATACAGTACACTATAATGAATGGGAAAATAGGTTTCGGTGCCAAGTTACTGTGTTTTGGTTTATTCTTGTACTTTAAACAATTACTGATACATTATTTAAGGTGCTATACTTAAAAAAAAAAAAATAAATACCTGTACTGTATGTATGTGCAGCTGGTACATTACCTTATATTGGGTTCCCCCCCATTCATAATGCTCAATTATCTCAAGATTGGTTTCAAACATCACAGGTTTGCAAGGGCTCTCTTGGCAATGATGGGGGTAGCAGAGGGATCATCACTGTGTGCTTGGATGCCAGTGCGTACAGATTCACAATGGATTGCAAGAATACAGGTAGATAAAGGGAAAGCACCTCATGGCAGCAAACATAGTGAATGGAATGGGGAAGGAGAGGGCGATATCATGCGCCTTGAGCGAGAGTACATTCCTGCACACCTGACATGAGATTTGAATTTTCAACTGGACCAACATTTAGAAAAGCGAATGTCACCTTTAGAAAGTGAGGCGAGGTGTAAGAATTGAGCATTTGAATAAGTGAATATCTGCATCAAGATAATTTGGTTAGCAAGGGATACCCTCTTTCCACATACAGTAATAAATTTTACTGGTGATATAAATTGATGATTTTAAGCTACTGTAGTATATTACATGTGGAAATAAAAAAAAAAGTTTAATAAGTACAATATGAATGTGATACATATTGTATTCAGTTTGTGAATCCTAAGAAGTTTATTTCCATTATGACCCATTTTCTTGAAATCAATTTTTTTCTAACCCTCCATCCCAACATTGTATACTGCACAGTACAGTCAGTTCTGCTATAACGCGATAGTTGTGTTCTTGTAAAATATCGTGTTGTAGAAAATCGCGTAATAGAAATAACAGGGCTTATGGAGAAAATAGGGTTAGGGTTAGGTGCAGATTACTACCATACTTGAAATCGAAAAAAAATTAGTAGTTAGCCTAACACAAAGGATAGCACAGTCTAAATAAATGTTACATTCATATCTAATAATGAAATCATACAGTAAATGTAACACTTTACCTTGAAAAAATATGAATATAACTTGATGGGGGAGAAGGGTGATTTTGAGGTTGATAACATCGAGCTTCTCTTCAAGTGTTATATCCTTTCTTTTACGATCATCACCGGGAATTCGATCACCAGAACGCTTCTTGGAGATATTCTTCTTTACCATATTCACAGTTAATACCACAAAATTGGAGAAATAGTAAGCAAAAATCGCGTTACAGCAAACAAGCGTTCGCGTTATACAAA